GTAAAAGAAATAAGCAGTTCAACATTTTAGGAACACCCGAGTTAATTGTATTCTGACCATGGCCTGAGATTTTTTCTGCAATATCACTTCTGCAAATATAACAATGGCTAGGGAAAACCAGTGGTGAATTATTACAAATCCATAACTATTATTGGATATATGGGAAGCATATGCTTTGTTAAAAGTAAATCAGTACTTTCAGGTTGACATATGGAGAAGACATATACCACACAACCCATCCTCAAAGCACAGGTCAGTTTGCTTTTTTCTCAATGTGAATAAAAGTGTATTTAACCAAATAGTAGAGTCATACAGTGTTATTTTATCAGGTATTGAGTGTGTTTATTTTATAATACTCTAAAACATTTTAGGTTCTTTTTACTTAACCAGTAATTATTTACAAAATATTAAAGGGCTATATGTTGACCTTTCTTCTCTACTAAATCTAATTCATGATCTCATCTTCCAAATGCACAGTGTCACTAAATAGCATCAATATCTACCCAGTTGTACAAGTCAGAAATCACCCAGTGGTTACTCCAAGATGGGATTGGAAGTTACTTACCCTCCCAGTATTATATGTCATCCTTCTCTCAAACCACGTATTCATATATATACCACTAAGTAAAAATGATGTTCTAGTTAGGCAAAAATGTATTAAATGTATCAAGGTAAGTTCTTTCTCTCCACTTTTCAACGTTTCCTTTTAAAGGAATTCTGGAGTCACTAAGGCCAATATCTGTGTATCTTTTTCCATTTTTAAAAAGCCCTTGAATTATCTTTTTATTAGCTCTAATCACCCTGCTGTCAACACCCTATTCTGAAATAACATCATTGTTTATCATTGTACCCTCTGCAGCTAGCAGTTTCTGGTACCAAGCAGGTGTGTAATAAAATAATTTTTAATTGAACAAATGGAAAAGATATACTTCAAATCACAGATTTTCCCACCAAATACTTTTTAAGAGGTACCCTGGGAGCATAGAATTACTTTATTTCTTTGTACACACACAGTAATACTTTTTGCTTCTTTGCCATTATTTATGCTGTTCTGTTGCCTCTAGTCCTCTTCTCTCTTTTCTTAGCCTGGCTAACTTCTATATAGATATTAAATCCAGACATCTCCTCCTGGAGGACTTTTCTGACTTCCCTATTCTGGGTTCCCTATTCTATCTTTAAAACTTTTCAGTCTTAAAGATAGATAAATGTGGGTTAGTATATGACAATGGTTAATTGTAGTCTGGGATTAGCACACCTGGGTTGGAACACTGCATCTGCTTTCTCACTTTGGGCAAATTACTTCACCACTCTGGGCTTTGAGTTCCTTATGCATAAGTAGTGCTAATAATACTATCCTCCTAGAGTATTTTTAAAATTGAGTGACAGAATGTTAGCCAATCTCTGTACCCTCCTAACAACCAATAAACCTTTCTGTGTAATAAACATATTTCTAGTTGCTCAGGTTAAAAATCTTGGTTCATCTTCAACATTTTTTTTTTAAAGCCTACATAAAACTCATCAACAAATCTTATCAGATCTGTCTTCCAAACATCTCCAGATTCCAAATATGATCATTTCTTATTACTTTCAGTCCTCTAATTCCGATCTTTATCTAGTCTGACATTTTTGCTGAGATTATTGTAATAGCCTCCTAACTGATCTACTGGGTTCCACCCTTGCCCCACTACAGTCTACTTTCAACCCAGCAACCACAGTAATTCTTTTAAAAGTGTGCCAAAACTATGCTCAAAGTTTTCTGATAACTTTCTATCTCATTCAAAGTAAGTCCACATTTCTTACATGTGTAGTGGCCTATAATATAACCCTCAGCGGTTCTTGTCGCCTGATATGTATGCCCTTGTGTAGTCTTCGCTCATATTGAATAAGGCTGATCTATGTCACCAATAGCACATTGCAGAAATGAAGGTCTGCAACTCCTGAAAGGAGGTCATAAAAGACGTAGTAGCTTCTGCCTCATGATCTCTTAGATCTTATTCTCTTTCTAAGAAAGGTAGCTGCCATGTTGTGAAGATGAATCTGCATCCCAGTGGGGAGGTCAATGTGGTGAGGAACTGAGACCTCCTGAGAAGTGCCAGCAACAAGTTGCCAAGCATGTGAGTGAGCCAACCTGGAAATGGATCCTCCAGTCCTAGTCTTAGATGGCTTCAGCCTCAACAGATGCCTGACTGCAGCACTCTGAGAGAACCTGAGATAATGGACTCAGCTAAATGCTCCCTGAATTTTGGACCCACAGAATCTTTGTTAGATAATATATATTTATGTGTTAAGTTGTTAAGTTCTGGGGTAATTTGTTATGCAGCAATGGACAACTAATACACTGAGTACCACCAAAAGGGCACCCTTGATATGATGCCTAATTCCTTCACTGGCTTCATCTCTTGCTAATCTCCTCATTTGCTCAATCTGCTTTAGCCATATCAGACTTTTCTATAATCCAGGTACACTTCTATCTCAGGGTTATTGTCCTTGCTAACTCCTTACCCACTTCAAGTCTTTGTTCAAATAGATCCTTTTAGTGTTCTTTTTTATCACCCCATGACTCTCCCCAGTCTTTCGATTTTGTTTTCCTCGATGGTATTTATCAACATTTGATATATGATATGTGTAATAGTCTGTTCTCATACTGCTAATAAAGGCATACCCTAGACCAGGTAATTTATAAAGACGCGAAGTTTAATGGACTCACAGTTCCACATGGCTGGGGAGGTGTCACGATCATAGAGGAAGGCAAAGGAGAAGCAAGGGCACACCTTACCTGGTGGCAGGCAAGAGAACATGTGCAGGGGAACTCCCCTTTATAAAACCATCAAATCTGTTGAGACTTATTCACTGTCATGAGAACAGCATGGGAAAACTCATCCCCATTATTCAATTACCTCCTACTGGGTCCCTCCCATGACACATGGGGATTGTGGCAGCTACAATTTAAGATGAGATACCAGTGGAGGCACAGCCAAACCATATCAATACGCTTTACTTTTTGTTATTATTGTTGTTTCTCTCCCTCCATGATAACATAAGCTCTGTGAAGGCAAAGACTTTTTGTTCTTCTTGTTGTTCACTGCTATTTATTTACCCCTTAGAACAGTGGATGGCAAATACTAAATGTTACATGATACTTACTAAGTGGATTAATGTTATAGTCTTCTGGGTTTTTATTGTTTGCTAGTTTGCTTATTTTCCCTTCTGGGTAGTAAGGTCCTTAAATTCAAGTACTATATCTTTTTTATCTTTATATATCTGTCATCCATATGGTGATACCTGGAATAACAGATCTATTTGCTAAAGTAGAAAAAGAGATCTGAGTTACTTAGGGAGTTTATACCATAGAGAGTATTTTAAGAAGTTAAATGTGAGTTTAAAATATATATGGATTTAAAAATACTTTGTACAGTGGGCACAGTGGTGTGCACCTGTAGTCCCAACTACTTGGGAGGCTGAGGCAGGAAGATTGCCTGAGCCCAGGAGTTTGATGCTGCAATGAGCTATGATTGCACCTCTGTATCACAGCCTGGGCAACAGAGTAAGACTCTATCTCAAAAAAATAATAATTTAATTTAAAATACTTTGAATAAACAAGTGACCTTGTGAAATTATCAAGGATTACTTAAAAACAATGAAACAGCACAAAAAATTTGGATTTAAAAATAGCAATATTTAATATGTAGTTCAAAAACCAATTATATTTGAACTAAACAATACATTAACATAAAAATTGATTTCATTTTATTTTAATTGCCCTTAAGATTTTTTTTTACTTGAGTAGGTTGCATCTACCAGTTTGCAAATGAAACCGCCTTTGTAAACTGGCAAATTAAAAGTCATTAGAAAATATGATTTGATAAATATTTTCAACACTTAGAGGAATACTGCAATTATATAATCATTTTTTCCCATACTTTTACATTTTTGTTTTGCTAAAAACAAGCTTGATAACATATGTTCAATTTTTTTTTCTATGGTTTTCTAGCTATTGCTGACATAAATTTCAGATAGGGGAAAAAATCAGTAAGAAATTGGATCTGCCAATTTACTTACCACTTTCTAAAGGCAATTTTTAAGTGATGAAGCCTCTATTGCTTCTTGAAGCAAAGTTGTATAAGGTTGAACATATTTTGGCAAACTAGACAGTTCAGATCACTTCTCCAAAGTCAAATGCATAGTTAGAAGCAGAAACAAGGCTACAACTCAGCTGTCTAAACTCCTGGTTAATTGTTTTGCTCACTAGCCTATTCTGCTTCCAGAAGTGTTAGGGGATAGTATTTAACAGGGGGATCTCTCCTCTGGGAGTTGAGCATGCCATTACATGAAACCACCCATTACTAAGAAAGTAATTAGGGGAAGGAGAGAGAATATGGAAGGAGGAGAATTATGCAAATGCCTGAACTAACTTGTGCAACGTTAAAATGCAAAATTCATAAGTTGCTCATTGTCATTGACATTCAAAGGATAACCTGGGACTAGAGTAGGAAATAAAGGTGGATCAGTGAGGGAAGTTGTCTTGTTTAGCCTAAGAGATGTGAAGTGCCATGTTCTATGCGCACGTGATGTTGGGAATGGTGGGGTAAGAGTAGAGCACTATCTGAAATTTTGTATTATTATTATGTACAAAAAAATAGGCATTCCTTATGAGAATTTGGAACAAAACATGCAAGTAACGAATATCCATTTACGTGAGCATGTGTTATCCAGTGGCCCACCGAATAAGGGTTAATCCAGTGGGAACTCTCACTGGAGTCTTATAAAATGTATATCAGAAAGCTATTTTCCCGACTGGTCAAGTGTGACCGTATGGACACTAACTCTTCATGCGTGCGGGCTGTCATAGTGTGAGTACCGCTGAATTCTGATGGTGTGTCTGGAATTCGTGGGTTCTTGGTCTCGCTGACTTCAAGAATGAAACCACGGCCCTCGCGGTGAGTGTTATAGTTCTTAAAGATGGTGTGTCCAGAGTTTGTTCCTTCAGATGTTCCCACGTGTTCGGAGTTTCTTCCTTCTGGTGGTTCGTGGTCTCGCTGGCTTTAGAAGTGAAGCTGCAGACCTTCAGGATGAGTGTTACAGCTCTTAAGGCTGCACGTCTGGAATTGTTTGCTCCTCCTGTTGGGATTTGTCCATTCCTCCCGGTGGGTTTGTGGTCTCGTTGGCCTCAGGAGTGAAGCAGCAGACCTTTGCAGTGAGTGTTACAGCTCATAAAAGCAGTGCAGACCCAAAGACTGAGCAGCAGCAAGAGTTATTGCAAAAAGCGAGAGAACAAAGTTACCACAGTGCGGAAATGGACCCCAGCAGGTTACCACTGCTGGCTCGCTTTTATTCCTTTATCTGACCCCAGCCACATTCTGCTGATTGATCCATTTACAGAGAGCTGATTGGTGCATTTACAATCCTTTAGCTAGATATAAAAGCTCTCCAAGCCCCACCAGATTAGCTAGATAGAGTGCTGATTGGTGCATCCACAAACCTCCCCCGAGCTAGATACCGAGTGCTGAGTGGTGCATATACAATCCTCAGGCCAGATATAAAAGTTCTCCAAGTCCCCATCCTACTCAGAGCCCCCAGCTGGCTTCGCCTAGTAGATCCCGAGCCTGGGCCGCGGAGGGAGCTGCTCGCCAGTCCTGCGCCGCGCGGCTGCACTCCTCAGCCCTTGAGCGGTTGATGAGACGCGGCACCAGGGAGCAGGAGATGGCGCCCGTCAGGGAGGCTCCGGCCACGCAAGAGCCTACGGGGGAGGGGGCTCGGGCATGGCGGTCTGCAGGTCCCGACCCCTGCCCTGCGGGGAGGCGGCTGAGGCCCTGCGAATATTCGAGCGCTGCGCAGGCGGGCCGGCACTGCTGTGGAACCTGGCGCACCCTCCGCAACTGCTGGCCCGGGTGCTAAGCCACTTACTGCCCGGGGCCCACGGCGCCAGCTGGCCACTGTGAGTCCTGGGCTCGCTGAGCCCGCGCCCTCCCGGAACTCGCGCTGTCCCGCAAGCGTCTTGCGCAGCCGCAGTTCCCGCCCGCGCTTCTCCCTCCACACCTCCTGGCAAGCAGAGGGAGCTGGCTCCAGCCTCAGCCAGCCCAGAGAGGGGCTCCCACAGTGCAGCTGCGGGCTTGAAGGGCCTCTCAAGTGCTGCCAGAGTGGGCCCCGAGGCCGAGGAGGTGCGGAGAGCGAGCCACGGCTGCCAGCATGCTGTCACCTCTCAGTGGGTCCCATTATAATCCTGGAGAAGCTCAGAGGTTAGAAGCCTGAAGGTAGGTGCTGTATGAAACTGGTCAAAACCTTTCTAAAACAGGTCCCTGCAGGAGTAGATGGAATGTACTGGGGGACCAAGAGCAGACAAGTGGGGTAGAGGGAGATGGGTGAGGATTTGGAATTGTGCTAAAGGAGTGCCTGATACACCTCTGAATTTTGGTGTCCTTATATGGAAAACAGGCACAAAGTTTCTGTGTTAGCTTGCTGTGAGGAGTAGCTGAATAAAGTAAAATTATTGGCAGATACTAAGTATTCTGAATTGTTATCCTTGTTTTATTATGATAATGTTAAGGTTAGTAATAAATATCACGACTTTTACTAGAGAAAGTCACTATCTCTACTTGACCCTGTATTTTCTCTTATCTTACTGAAGAACGTGGATTTGCCTTTAAATGCAAACGCTCATCAGTTCATCATTACAACCAGAGTTGAAATTTATTCTTTAAGGCACAAGCTTCTATCTACATGCTAACATGTCTTCTAATTTCTAGGAAAGTTGCAGATTTGACAGTTATTATAAAGTATTAGAATTTTTATGAAAATTATTATTTTTAAGAAATTGAAAAATATTTTCTAACTTGAACCATTTTAGATTTAATATTCCATAGCTTTAGAATAAAGAGCTTAAGTTTGTTCAATCAATTTGCACATTGTTTTAGAAATGAAAAAGATAATTGAATTTTTTAAATTTCTCTGATTACACTGTTTATGCATTTGTTATAGAATTATAATTTTAAAAGTTTTTAAATAATCACCTACTTAGTCTAACTCATATTACGGGGCACGATCATCTAAATTTGAAATATATGAAATATGTGTCTAGAGACCTAGGATTTGATTTAAAACCACCACATACAATACATATGGTTGAACAACCTGTATGTGTGGTTGAGTTAATACCCATCTGATCGCTCTTTATCTCTAGGAGATGAGTGCTGCTGGGTGAGTTATTCCCTCTTCCATTCTCCAAGGCAGCAGTCCCCAACATTTTCAGCACCAGGGACTGGTTACATGGAAGAAATTTTTTCCACGAACTATGAGGTTGGGGGGATGGTTTCAGGATAAAACTATTCCATCTCAGATCATCAGGCATTAGTTAGATTCTCATAAGGAGCACACAACCTAGATCCTTTACATGCACAGTTAACAATAGGATTCATGCTCCTATGAGAATCTAATGCTGCTGCTGATCTGACAGAAAGTGAGCTCAGGCAGTAGTGCTTACTCACCTCTTGCTACATGGCATGGTTCCTAACACGCCACAGACTGGTACTGGGCTACAGTCCGGGGGCTTGGGGACCCCTGATCCAAGGGGACAGTGGTGACCTGCATTTCATAAGGCTTCAGTGTGAGTACCATGGGATTAGGCATTAGTAACTCACTTGGTGAGACACACTTGAGTTGGTTGTGGAGATAACACTTTTTTTTTTTTTTTTTGGCTAGAAAATATGTTTGATAAACTGTATCTCTTGACTCTTTTTGCCTATTACATTTAGTAATTATGATATCTTCTCATGTGTAATGTCTAATGTGTTTTGTTTTCCTAGTTTAGAATGCTATTTCTTAAGTAAAGAGGTTTACATAACGTAGATCCAACTATCTGAACATGAGTTATATGTAAGTTACATATTTTTTAAAAAATAGATATTCCAAATTTTAGTATCTGAAGGAGAATTAAATATATATGTAAATATATATTTATGGTAAGATATATGTAGATAAAAAATGCAACTAACCTAACTTTCAGTAACCATCTGCCCTTGGATCTGGCATAAACTTTTAGATTTCTATTGCATCAATATCATTACGATGTGAAGATTCTTGCCCTCCCTCTCTTATTTTTCCTAAAAATTTTCAGTGAATAGTTTTTATGCCTTTAAAAAGATGGAGATTCTATTAACTATTTTTTCTATAAAATAATAATCTTAAAATTATCTTTAAAGCAGTATATTTAAAGGCTTAACAGTTTACAAGAAATCTTTCATCTTTGAAATTAAAATTAAATTTCAAAAATGTATTTACTAACCTTGACCAAAAGGTACTCACCTAATCATCCAACACTCCACTTTGATCACACATCTGAAATGACAGGAAAGTAAGTTGAGTTTTGATCAATTGAAGAAAATATAAGTCTGGAATCAATAGATTCAGCCCAGCATTTTACAATCTTTACAGATATTAGTATTGCTTATTGTGATGCCTTTGAGCAGGATTGTCAGATAAAATACAGAACTAAAGACAAAAACTGTATGAGTATCTCAATAGATGCAGAAGAGTCAATAAAATTCAACATCCCCTCATGTTAAAAACTCTTAATAAAATGGGCACTGAAGCAATAAACCTCAACGTAAGAGCCATCGATGGCAAATCCACAGCCAGCATTCTACTTATGGGCAAAAGCTGGAAGCATTCCCCTTGAAAACTGGCACAAGACAACCATGCTGTCTCTCACCACTCCTATTCAACAAGTACTGGAAGTCCTGGCCAGAGCAGTCAGTCAAGAGAAAGAAAGAAAGGGCATCCAAATAAGAAAAGAAGAAGTCAAACTATCCCTGTTTGCAGATGACATTATCCTCTATCTAGAAAACTCCATAGTCTCAGCCCAAAACTCCTTAAGCTGATAAACAACTTCAGCAAAGTCTCAGTATACAAAATCAACATATAAAAATTGCTAGCATTCATATACACTAATAAGAGTCAAGCTAAGGGCCAAATCAGGAATGGAGTCCATTCACAATTTCCACAAAGAGAATAAGATACCTAGGAATACAGGTAACTATGGACGTAAAAGAGCTCTACAATGAGAACTATGAAACATTGCTCACAGAAATTAGAGATAACACAAACAAATGGAAAAACATTCCATTTTCATGGATAGGAAGAATAAATATCATTAAAATGGCCAAATTGCCCAAAGCAATTTATAGAATCAGTGCTATTTCTACAAAACTACCAGTGACATTCTTCACAGAACTAGAAAAAAACTCTTTTAAAATTTATATGAAACCAAAATAGAGCCCAAATAGCCAAGGCAGTCCTAAACAAACAGAACAAAACTGGAAGCATCATGCTACCTGACTTCAAACTATACTACAGGGCTATAGTAATCAAAACGGCATGGTAGCAGTACAAAAACAGACACACAAGCCAATAGAACAGACTAGAGAGCCCAGGAGTAAGGCTGCACACTTACAACCATCTTATTTTAGACAAAGCTAACAAACACAAGTCATGGGGGAATCATTCTCTATTCAATTAATGGTGCTGGGATAACAGTCTAGCCATATGCAGAAGATTGAAACTGAACCCCTTCCTTATACGATATACAAAATAAACTCGATGGATTAAAGACTTAAATGTAAAACAAAACTATGCAAACCCTGGAAGACAATTTAGGCAATACCATTCTGGATATAGGAACGGGCAAAGATTTCATGACGAAGATGCCAAAAACAGTCACAACAAAGCAAAAATTGAAAAATAGGATCTAATTAAAGAGCTTCTGCACAGTAAAAGAAACTATGAACAGAGTAAACAGACAACCTATGGAATGGGGGAAACTTTTTGCAAACTGTGCATTCGACAAAGGTCTAATCTTAAGCATCTATAAGAAACTTAAACAAATTTACAAGAAAGAAAGCAAACAATCCCATTAAAAAGTAGGAAAAGGACAGGAACAGACACTTTTCGAAAGAAGACATACGGCCAACAAACATATGAAAAAACCTCAACATCACTGATCATTAGAGAAATGCAAACCAAAACCACAATGAGATACCATCTCATACCAGTCAGAATGGCTATTACGAAAAATAAAAAAATAACAGATTTGGCAAATTTACACAGAAAAGGGAACACTTAAACACTACTGGGAGAAATGTAAATTAGTTCGACCATTTTTGAAGGCAGTGTGGCAATTCCTTAAAGAGCCAAGAACAGAACTACCATTCAGCTCAGAAATTCCATAACTGGGTATATACCCAAAGGAACATAAATCATTCTGCTATAAAGATACATGCACACGTATGTTTATTGCAGCACTATTCATAATAGAAAAGTCATAAAATCAACTTAAATGCCCATCTGATATCCAAATCAAATGACAGATTGGATAAAGAAAATGTGGTACACATATATCATAGAATACTATAGAGTCATAAAGAAGAATGAGATCATGTCCATTGCAGGAACATGGATGGAGCTGGAGACCATTATCTCTAACAAACTAATGCAGGAACAGAACCAAATACCACATGTTCTCATTTTTAAGTGGGAGCTAAATGATGAGAATGCACAGACACACAAAGAGGAATAACAGATATTGGGGCCTACCTGAGGGTGGAAGGTAGAAGGAAACAGAGGATCAGGTAAAATAACTAAGGGATACTAGGATTAACACCAGAGTGATGAAATAATCTGTACAACAAACCCCTATGACACAAATTTGCCTGTGTAGCAAACCTGCACATGTACCCCTGAATGTAAAACAATAGAAAAAATACAGTATACACATTCTCAGATTTGAATTTTCAACACACAATGAATGCTGCTTTAGTATAAGTATATCCCATACATGTGGGACACATTTATACTAAAAAAAAAAAAAAAATTGCTGAGTAATGATAAACACCAAGCCAAATTTGATGGGTCATGCCGGTAATCCCAGCTAGCAGGGAGGATTAGGCAGGAGGATCTCACGAGCCCAGGAGTTTGAGGTTACAGTGAGGTATGATGATGACACTGCACTGTAGCCTGGGTGACGGAGTGAAACCCAATCTCCAAAATCAATCAATAATAATAATAAACACCAAAATTAAAATGTAACTAGGCATTGTAAATTTTTGTTTGCTAAATCTTGCAATTATATCTTAGTGTGATCAAGAAAATGATTATTTTTGTGGAGTACATTTGTTTAACATACCAGGATGGACCTAATGGATCATAAGATCAGAGGTCTTCCATCTGAAACATGTAAAATAAGGCTTCATAATCACAACCT